ATAATGATAATGATAACAATAATGATAATGATGACGATAATGATAATGATTTGAAAATGATAATGATAAATAAACCCGATAAAACACTGCTGCTGGATTATGTAACACGCAATGATAAGAACCATATGACATGTAACTTTAATACCTGTGATCGGGCAATGACCTTCATTTGCTCTGAGTCACCCTGGTCTTTACTGTGCGATATTTCTTGATTCATTTTTTTCTTTAACTCTTCCAGACGAGCACGACGTTGGGCCAACCGATATTCTACCCTTAGGAGAAACAATTAAACACACATTCAACTATTTGACATAATGATCTGCCTTATGTCAGAAGAGTGCACTTGCCCTATTTCATAATGACGTCACGGTTTGTTTACATCTGCTAAAGTGATAGAAATTTAGGCTAAATTTAAGTTTAATTCTTTTCTTTGGAGATATTTAGCGTAATATTTAGTTGTTCTTGCTGTGTTGTTGCCATTCCATCCCCCTCCAGCGACCATGATCCCTAGCGTTAAAACAATAGTTTGTTGTGACGTCATTATGAAATAGGGCAATTGCTGCTATATCTTAGTGACTAATTACTTCTTTTGTTGTCTTATGCGGCTTATCTGGAGATGGTTGTTCAAGGCTATCATGTTCTGTTCGTGCTCTAGCAGCACTTGCTTTCTCAATCTGAAAAGATCAAATATACATGATGTAGCAAGTACGTAGATGAACGAGTCTAAATTAAAATAAACACTGTGATACGATGCCAACAAAGACTTTTCTTGAAAACACAAAAAATCAGCTGATTACCGCTTTTTAGTTTCTTGATTACTTGATTACAGACTTATCTACTCAGGGCTAGTCTCATTTCAGTGTCAATACGGCAGCCATCTTAATTTATGGGATGCCCAGGGAGTAAACGTAAAAGTATTTATAAAGCATGGAATAGCGAAGTTACTTTTCCAAATGATTTTACGCTTTGGTGTTTTACACATCGCTCCAACTTCCAGCAAATTCAATTGGTTTTTAGATCGGTGTTTTGTACAATACAAACTCTTAAAACTTCCACGGACCTTCTCTGGAACATATGAATATGTAACACGAAAAGAGGTAAAGCCTGAGAAACAGAGAGCTAGGAAATGGAGAATTGTTCTTCCCTTCTGTGCTGCTCAGTTACATATACACGAGTAAAAATCATACTCCAGGGAAAGTAAGATTAAATAGGGAATGTTGTTATTTGCTCATGATAAACAAACTCACTGCTCGTTCAGTCCAATCTGTGTATTGAGTACTTGTCTTAGTGTATTTTCCTGTTCAGTTGCCATTTGGTTTTGTTCAAGTGCTCTTTCTTCAGCCTCTCTTTTCCATCTTTTTCTTCTTTCATTTAACTTTTCTTGAAGTAAGGCTTGGTGTCGTTCCCTTTCCCTTGTTCTGTTGTCTTCCAAAAATAAAATAAAATGTTTTTTTGCAAACTCTGATAAGTTATAGTTTTTTAACACTTTCTCATATGTGTATCCTAAATTAGCTGAAAAATTCCATTTGCTAACCAATATCCGTTAATAATAATAATAATAATAATAATAATAATAATAATAATACTTGATATTAATTCAAATATAAATCAGTCAAACACATAAAGATACATGACTGATGTTAGAAAAGGTGGAGCTTGAGGTTAACCCTATATACAAGACTAAGTAATGCAGTAACATTGTATAATAAAAAGCTAGAGCTGTTTAAAATTAGAAAGGTTTGCATGGAAGCAATAACCAAGGGCCCGCCTACCAGCATCACTATCATGCTTTCGGTACATCATTTCAAATGCTTATAACTCTTCAAAGGAATTTAATATCATGACAACAAAACTTTCCGAAATTACTCATTTACACATGGCCGTTTTTGTGATGAAAATATATTTTCGAAATCATTAAATGTTCGTGTTGCTGGTTTCCAGTCTTACACTCGTTCTTTGGTTCTCGGCATTGCAGTGCATTATTAGGCTGCTTAACAGGACGAAAAAAGAAGTTATCTTGGAAATATGTCCCCTAAAACAGGCCAATTTATGCCAATTCCTGCCAATTCAACCCAGTTTTTTCTTAGCCTCGGAATGGCTAATAAGCGTCACGGAATTAATACGAGTCTTCACTGCCGCAATCAGCATTCTGCAACCAGATAACGGATTAAGATTAAAGTAGCGCAATGCAATCCTTTAGTATTTGACTAATACTTACGTTAACTAAATGAGTGCATGCGTTACTTCAACTGAGATCTTAATCCTCAATCTGGTTATGAAATGATTGCGGTAACAGCGCATACATGCACCGTGTAACAATATCACAAGACAAATGTGGTAAGGAAAATTGGCTTGTAAAACACCATGGTAACGCGACCAACAACACACGTCGAAATTTAGTTTGTCAGGTTTACTAAAAGAAGCCGGGTTCGTTTTCGTGGATTTTTGTTGCTGAAGAGTAAAAGCATAAAAGAACCAGAGGATTAAGAACCACCAGGCTAGAATGTAGCTTATAAAGCACCCAATACAAGGACTACTTCAGCTCGAAAAATGAGACAGGTTATTATGTGAAGAGTATTAAGCTTTAAGACATGTTCGAAGGGTCTGTGGGAATAGTGGTTCTTTTACGCGGTTTTTACTTTATTCACAAAAAACTTGGATTCGAGGACATGTTTTATTGGTCGTATAGAGAAAAGTTTAGCATGATTATCTATATTACTTACTTGTATATTCTTCAAGTTGTTCTTCGTGCTTTTTCATCATTCTTTCCGCCTCCTTGGATGACAATTTGGCCTGCTGTTTTATTTCCGAAAACAGCCCATTTTCAAGTTTGCTGACTGACCGTTTCCATCGGTCGGTAAGTTGCTGTCATAAAAAAACAAATCTTTCATTAAAACTGCAGCTGATACCAAAGTTAAACAACAAAAGTTACAGCTATTAGTCTAAAACAACAATTGCAGCTGTACACTATAATAACCCAGTCTATCGCATAAGGATTGGTTGGGGGCAAGTGCTTTATAAGAGCACACAGCACGAGGGTGCACATTTTCTATTCCGTAGTTCGTAACGGAAAAATTTAAAAAAATTCTGACGGCTATTTACATTATGTAATTCTAATTAATTCAACTGAAGAACTACACGATAAACCAAAAAAGCTTCAATTAGCTGTATGCTTTCTTAAAAAGCTACTTAAGGTGGCTGCCTACTATAGGTTTTGCCCTGTTTTGCCCTGTTGAAGTTCACTAATATTATGAAGGTCACCCGCGGTTTTGAACAGTTGAAGTGCGCGCGCGTATCAAGGGGCGTCATCGTCGTTGCGGAGGAGTGTGCGCAGCAGCTTCATTTTTCTATAGTAGGCAGCCACCTTTTTTTTGATTTGAAGCTAGATACTACAACAATGGCGGATGGGATCTTGTAAAGAGTTCCAAAACACAGACGCCACGTATGAAAACGACCGCTAATAATAGGTAATTATTCTAAGAGCCTCTAGGTTCCAAGAGAATGAACGTAAGTTCCTAGCCAGTATTCATTGATTTAGATTTTACCTCACATCTGATCATAGTTTAAAAAAATGAAAAATATAAACAATACCGTCACAAGTTTCCCCAATTACGATGGTCCCTTGAATAAAATGACATTAAATTGTTGAACCGATTAACCTAATTACAGTAATTCCTTTGCTACATTTGATACAGAAAGTCTTCCATGTTCTACAGTCATCGATGTCGTAGGCTTTTCTTGTAGAGCCGTTTGGTAGTGGTCCTTTAATCTACGCCTGAAAGCCGCAAGACTCAGGTCTTTGGAGCGTAAGGAAAAGTCTTAAGAGTTCCACACCTTCCTAGTCCTTACGTCAAAGTTTGACTGGTAGCACAGAGCCTTTGCGAAAGGAACCTTCAGATTTATCGCATTAGCGTTGCAAGAACTTCTCGTCGTCCTAAATCTTTACCTCAATGGACAAGTATTGGCAAGCTGCAGCTTATCAATACTTGTCCATTGAGGTGTAAGGCAGACTGGATGGGTAAGGCTTTTCTTGTGRTGGAGAGAACTTTGCACTTGGATTGGTTAAAGCGTAGAAAGACGTCATTTGACCAGGATGAAAGACTGTCAAGGTCATTCTGCAAGGTATGAACGTCATTTGGTGTTTCTATTTCCTAAAACATTTTTTGTCATCTGCGAAGAGGCCTATGCCTAGGGACTCAGGAAAAATAGAAGCGGTCCCAGTATCGATCCTTGCGGCACACCAGACGTGACTGGAAGCTGGAAAGATGATCCACCAAGGACGGTGACCCTTTGCATTAAGTTTGACACGTAGCTCTGAAACCAAGCCAGGAGATTACAAGAGATTCCAAATTTCCTTAGTTTGCGCAAGAGAATTTAAAAATATGATCCACTGAGTCAAATTGTCGAGTGTTGAGATGAGTTGACGAAACCATATTGAGATTCGCGAAGAAGAGATTGAATGTGTTTAGATTGATGGATTAAAAGTGGAATGGAAATAGGTGTTAAACATATTAGCTATACCAGATGGTGTGTCTGCATGGATTCTTCTGGGAATATTACTTTCCCCTTCTCTTCCTCGAGACTAAGGTAGGGACTGAGCATGTGCCTGATATAATACGGTGCCACACCATTAAGTGCCTTATAGTTAAGTAACAGTGTCTTGTAGATAATACCATGGCTAATAGGAACCCAGTGTAACTGCTTAAGTATAGGTGTGATATGGTAAAACTTCTTACTGCGTGATTGAGAGGAGCTGCAGAGTTCTGTACATTCTGTAAACGATCGATTAAAGGGAGTCCGTACAGAAGTGAGTTGCAGTGATCAAACAAGCATAGATGTGAGTAAGATTTCAGTGTCTGATAGGCAGTCCCTTATTCTAGCTATACTACGCAGAGGAGAAGTATGCTCTACAGATACTATTAACATGTTGATCAAGATACATGCTATCTAATATGACACCAACAGTATTCGTTGCTGAGGAGGACGGCTGAATCCGTTCACTAAAGACACTCTATTGATGGGAATGACGATGATGGGCACTGACCAAGAACCAACCCTTGTGGTATCCCCCAGAGAAGATCTTTGAAAGGCGATTTAACTCCGTTAAGATAGGACTTATACCATTCCAGCACTTTAACATTCAGCCTTACCAAGAGCAGCTTGTGATCAACTTTATGTCGAACGCTGCACACATATCGAACAGTAAGAGCGCAACACATTTCTGGCCGACGATTGCGCAAAGTAAGTCGTCCTGTACCTTCGCTAGAGAGCCGTTTCAGTGCTGTGGAAGCGTTTGTAAGCCGAGATGTTAAGCAGTTGTGGTCAGTTAGATGGTCCTTCAGTTGTTTGGCAACAGCCCTCTCAGTTATCTTGGACGCGAACTTTGGTTCCGAGATGGGTCTAAAACTGGAGGTAAAAGGTAAACATTTCTGTTTATTGCAGATGACCCCAAAATTCGGAAGGCAATAACAACAGTAAACAGGTTGTTCCTAAACTGTGAACTGTGTCGATTAGAAGTGTAGACAAAATCTTAGGTTTCACCATGGCTTCTTTGGCTGTGTATATAGGCATACATGTTGTTTTGCATAATAATAGTTATTCTTGGAAGTGTGGCCGCTTACATGAGCATTACAAAGGAATGAATACTTATCCCATAATATTCCGTGCATCTTGTCTAATGTGCTGCCAAATGTGGTTACTTTCGAATCCCTAATGATAGTTAGTCTAAGTACGTAGTCGTACCCAGAGCCCAGTTTCCTCTTGCTCAGCACCTAGAAGCAAGAGGTTCTGGCTGTAGCCGATTTTGAATTAGCTTTGGGTCCGTGAATCTCGGACCGGAAGTTTCACTGCGCATGCCTATACCACAGGCTAGCTGTTATTTGAGTTACCTTTGGTCTTTATCGATTCAAATTGCTTCGAACAACGGCAATCATCTTAATAAGAAGCTTTTTGCTTTGAACATTCTAGTTAAATTATTTATCGATCCAATTCGATCGATCGATTCGATCTAATCAAATTTATTGCTTGAAAAATCGACTTATTTTTTAACGTTTTCGTGTCAGTAAGCCAATTTATTTCCAGAATGAAGAATCTTTCTATTGTTTTATTCCAGGCCCAATGAGAATGCACAAAAATCCGGCCACCGCCAGTCCTCTCCGAAAGGCTGCTTACCAAGAGGAACGTGGGCTCTGGGTACGAGATTGGTTTTGATGTTGTTGTTTAATTTTCAAAGCAATTTTCATCCATAATTTTGATAACGAATATTTGAATGTCAAAATCATACGCACAGGCATCCGCCATTATCTTGCTTCTTTTTTTTGTCTGCTCAAACCAGCCAATCAGTGAGGGGCGCGTCTAATTTCGAGGAATGAAAATAGCCTCACTCCCGAAAGATATGTGCCGCCGTCCAATTGAGCCCTAACACACTCTAATTTATCATCCTCGTCATCGTCCATTGGATTCCCCTTGAGTAATCATTACGCGCCATACGCTACTGTGCAAAATGCGCGACCTTATTTCCACGGTGTTTTCAAAACATAGGGAATTAATTTTTCGGTCTAGAGGCTGAGACAGTAAGAAAAGTAATAAGAAACCGAAACTTCTTAAAACCTCTCGAAACAAGAAAAAAATACCATAAAAAAGTAAACGTTCTTGGAAATTGCAAAAAAAATATAAGAATGACACATAGGTAAGCACAGTATTACCCAAGCCAGATCTTGAAATTCTTCAGCTTCTAGCTTGTCATGATTCTCTTCTTCCTCTTCTATTTTTGCTTGTTGCATTACCGTGAGTTGGTGAAATGCTTCAAGGTAGTCATCAGCTGTCATGTCGCCTTCAGTGATCATGTGAGATGCCTAGAAAGAAATCAATTATAAGCACTGAGGGATATTAGTGATAGGGTGTTTTAGAAACTTTTCCGAGGCAGAGGAGACAACTAAAATCCCGAAAGCGTAAGAGTATTAGTTTTTAATACCAAGATCGCAGAGGAAAATAACCCAAAATATAATTTACTTTGGTTAACCTGTAGCGGCAAGAATTACAAACTTTTCTCAAAGAGTCTTTATTACAATGTACTCTAGGGAATCTAGCTATAGGGAGTCTCCGGTTCGGGTGAGTGTAAACTGCCGTTCTATGTTAGGCGGCTGCCGCAAACTATAAAGAATCATAAACTGTTTGAATTGTTTATAAAGGTTAAAATGCTATAGGGCTAAGGTTTGTATTGAAATTCAAGACAGAGGGCCTGCGGCCCAGACATAAAAAACTCTGCGGCCGAGCAAATTGAGCACGCGCGTTTCAACTGGTTTAAAAACCAACCACGCCCTATTTCTGATGCTTGATGGAGGGTTTGAATTTCGATGGAGAACCTGTCCCGGGTTTTGAATTCAGCCCCGCTCTCCTCTGTTAGTATCAATRCTGAATTCAAAACCCGGGACAGGTTCTCCATCGAAATTCAAACCCGACATCAAACAATAGAAATAGGGCGTGGTTGGTTTTTCAAATAAGTTAAATTATCGCACTATTAAGTTCCATGAGTCTTCCAGGAAACAAAATTACGGGACCCAAGGCTACAGAAAAAAATCTTATTTTTGAAGCATATTAGTCAGTCTAAAGTAAATGTGACTGAAAAGAAAAGAAAATGTTCTTGATTTTCTTTATCTCTACTCCCCTTATATATTATGTTGCTAATCACCTTTTTTCAAGGAATAAAGCACTTTTCATTCACCCAATGTTTTGGAAAGAGGAAAACGGATTTTTTAAGAACAAATAATAATAAAAAAAAAAGCATTGGCCGTGAAAAAGCATTCTGAAATACCTAGAATTCCAGGATAAGTGTAAATCCTGGCCATTGTCCGAGAAAAATGGTAAACATGACTTGAAAACAATCAGGTAAAATAGTTCCCCCTAAAATAATTTTCAACTTAAGAAGCACCAAAGACATACTTTTGCTTCAAACTCTTCTTTCTGTCCTTCCAATTCATTTAAAAGCATGCTTCTTTTTGTGTCTCTTTTTCTCCTTAGCCTAACGGCAAGATCAGCTTCATGTTTTAAAACAGCTGAAATAGAAAAAAATAAATAATCAAAACCATATTAGGGTTTCCGGCCGTTGGGAACGCTTTTATTTCCCGATCATTATTGTGGCTGTTCCACATGGTCGGGGCGGTCTTAATATTTGGTCATCAAACCGATTGAAATGACTTATCTTCTGCAGGGATTTTCCCAGGCTTTACCTTGTTGATGCTTTTCTTCAAGGTTTTTCAAGTCTTCGTGATATTCTTCCAAAATCCTACAAAAATAGCATTTGTCAATTAAACTGCAAGAAAGTATTATATTCATAATCTCTATTTTATTGTTTTATTATTATTATTAATACTAATTAAATCCTAATCAAACAATGGTTTTGGGTGGCATAGTCCGTCGTATCCAGAAAAGTGTGTTAACTAAAAAGATACAAGTGAAAAKTGAGTGGGGTGCCACAACTATAGCATTCTAAATCATAGAAAATCCCGAGGCATTTCGTCAATAACTACGAGTCCTATTGCGATTTTTATCTTCCAACGCCGTCAATATATTGTATCAAAAGGTTATAAAGTATAAAGAGAGCACATCTCCCATACATAGGTCTCTACCCATGAAAGTTATTTGAAAATCTGTTTTTAGATCCTCGCGCAGCCTGAACTATTTTCAGAATGCGATTCCTGATTGGTCAGATTGTAGTAACTTCATGCGAGCGATCCGCGAAAATGTTTAGTTCCCGACGAATAGTGTAAAATATCTTCAAAAATTAGACGAAGTTGAACATGGTGACTTCCACAATCGTCATAGATAAATTAAACTTTAAATTTGACAAAAAACGTTAAAGAACATTGAAAAAGATCAAGTCAGAATGGTTTTAGTATACGAATAAATCAAGCAATTGCTCCCGATCAAACTCATAGGAGAATCGCAATACATTCATAATACCGTTATGCATGCCTGGTGGATAAAAATACCCCGAATACACAACGATTTTCTTGCATTTTGATAAGCTATATTTTCAATAGTGTGTTTTCCAGTCAGGTATTCTAAAAATTGAGCGTATTGATTTGGTATTGGATGCTGTACAGCAGGACAATAGAGAAAAACATTTGCGCATGCGTGCATTTTAGTACGTTTTCTAAGAATTTTGAAGAGTTTGAGTGAAAAAATAAGTATTTGTATACTAAAAAGTTCGAGAGTATACTTTTGTCAGACCAAGATACTGTATTAAGAAACATAATATGAAAGAATTAGCCTCAAGTTTCAAGCATGGACATTTCAAGTTTTGGCATTTTGTGAAGTCCAATTTATCAGGCATGTTTGAAAGCCAAATTTACAAATGTTTTGACTAATTTGCATACGGATTCAGAGCATGCGCAGACGTTTTTCACTCGTGTCGTACAGCAGAAAACAAAACCCTTATTTCACTGGTGTTCTTACATTATTGCTGCTGTTGGGAATTTATTGCTTTTAGGTTCTTACCTGCTGCACTGACGGTCCATTAGCTTTCCCCTTTTCTTGAGGAAAGCAATAATATTATAAGGTTGTTTTTCTCTTTCTTGGAATTCTTCAATTTCTTCTCTCTTATCTGCAGCTCTTTGTTGAGCCATCACCTGCCTTTTAGCTAATCTCTCACGCAACACCATGGTCTGGCGATTAATTTCCTCTGAACGCCTTTTCTCAGCAGCAGCTAAACTTGACATTAATTTTGACAAAATCTGCTCTGCCTGCGAAATAATCAACACGACAAAATACTTATTTTAGCAAAATGTAGTTTGCCATCTGTGGAAAAAAGGGTGGTGTGCGCTGTCAATACTGTGTGTGCTTCAAATCATGGGAATATTTTGGAACGGGCGTATTTTAATACCATGGAAGTTAAACAAACAGGGAAATATTTTCATATCATGTCATCTTTCGCTCGTAATTTTCCAAGGTATGGAAATATCATGGAAATCGCCACTCCTAACATATTCTCATACTATGGAATTAGGGAAATGATGGAAATATCATGGAAGTCACTTCAACAGTATGAAAATACCTTGGGCTTCCCTCGTCTACATGAAGTTTTACTGCTTCTAGAAAATCCGAGACATTCAAAATTCTCTCTCTTTTTCTTATACATGTATCAGTAGAGCCGAAAAAAAAAAACATAAGAACTTTGCACTGGTGTTTTTTCTTTTGCTATATGATACCCAACTCGAGAATTTAATATTTCCGACTCGATAGTCTTACTAGTCCTTTTGGAGTCGCCACAATCATTTACTATCTCTCTTTTTTATTTCAAAAAATAAGAAATAAAAAGAGAAAAATTATTTATCAAATATCGTAATCTATAATTTTGCAATGATTAAATTTCTTTTTTCATAGAAAATGGAAATAAACTTGAAATTTAACTTTTTGTTTTGACCTTGTCATAAGCCTGTTTGTGATAGCTCGTTTTGAATTGCGGTTTTACTTCCGTCCATTCGCGCATGAGCAGTTTTACACTTTAAAACAGCCAATCAGCAAAGACTGGATTATGTCACAGCCTTGTTCCCCAGGGCTGAGCAAGAGAAACCCTAGCTCTACTAAGGGACGAGATTTAAGTTACATCTTTGAATCCGAGGTCAAGATAGTGTCTCCATGGAACAAACGAGAAAAAACGTTGATCTCATATAAACAATTTCATAAATCAAAGTCAGAAAAAAACAAACAAACAGATAAGTTTGGTCAAATGCGCAACCTAACAACTGGCAAAATTACAGCTAAACAATACTATTGATGGCTTTCAACCATTACCAAGAGAATTAAATAACAAAAGACACGGCGGCCATGTTGGAGGATATAACGAAATAATTCATTGACAATTCTTTTGTTGAGTTCCTCCAACATGGCCGCCGTGAAAACCATCAACTCGCTATTTCTTGTGAATTAAAGGTACGGTTTTTTGTTAATTTTGAGAAGCTTAAGGTGGCTTCATATAGTTTCGGGCTTTAGAGTAATGGAAAAGAAACTATTTTATAGCTTATAGTACACTCAACAAAATTACTCGACTCTGATTGGTCGAGAGGAGTACAATTATAGCGTTAATTGTACTCCGTAGGAGTACCGAATTAAGTCGCTATGGCAACACGGCCAAAACAATGTCAAAACAATTATTTTCTATCATTTTGTACTTAAAAAACACAAATAAAATTTTAAAGCCGTAAGAACTAATCTTTTTTATGCATTTCAGTTGCGCGATGGACTGAAAATCAAATAGACAAAGATGAACGGCGTCGCTTCGCATTTCTTACTGAAATTTTGTTGAGTGACCTATAAACAAAAAATCGCACGATCTTCTCGTACAATTTGGAATTAATAGACACTCGTAATGTTTTGAAAGTTCTTTAATTGCACYCGCCTAAAGGCTCGCGCAATTACAAGAACTTTCAAAACATTACTCGTGTCTATTAATTTCCAAATTGTACTCGAGATCGTGCGATTTCCTATACAAATTAAAGACTATGAGTTTAGGAATCATTTTTCGTGAAAATGATCACGTGAATAGTTACCATAGCAGCGACACGTCAGCCACAAAACGGGTCCTTTTTGCCATTAAAAAATTAAAATCTCGAGTTTCCCGTGGTGTTATACAAAAGTTTGTTTTGTTACCTATTTTATGAACGCGTTTTATTAAAATCGTGCCTACAGAAAGCAAGATGTTAAAGAAATATCGATTTTTCAAGATAAAAGTTTTCTGTAGTTCAAAATTTTTCTATCGCGTCAGTTATCTTATCATTCTACGAAGAAAAAACTGTAGAAATTTAAAGATATTTGACCACGTAGTTTTCGAGTTGTTTTTAATAACGCATGCAACCGACTTTTCGTGACGTCATAAAAATAAATATTCTTGAAGTTCTGGTACTGCGCATGCTCGTGCACAAGTTGGCACGCGCACGTACAAAAACTATATTGAGCCACCTTAATAGGCTTTGAATCGTGAATAAATCACATTTGACAAACTGTTGACGTCATAACGGATTTAAAATATCGATGTGCCGATGGTTTAGAGAAGTATGTCCTCTTATTTACCACGATGTGACGGCAACAGTTGGTCAAAATGCGTTTTTTACCACAAATGTACGTATACTCGCTTTCTGATTGGTTGACAGCCTGGGTAAATAAGATCACATACCAACAAATTACGTCAACAAATTACGGATCGTTCGCGCACGCGATCCCTAATTTGTTTACGTAATTTGTTGGTATGTCCAAGGGCGGATCCAGAAAAAAATTTTGTGGGGGGGGCTAATTGAGTTTCTTCCGTCAACACAACGGAAAACAATATAAAAAACTTTTTTTCTGCTGAAGTGGNGGAGGGGGAGGGGAGGGGGGTGTGCTTCAGCCCCCCTTTGTCCCCCTGGATCCGCCCTTGATGTCCTCTTATTTCCCACGGCTCTCGACCAATCAGCAAGCAATGCACATTATGTAGGTCTTTTAATAATGTAAATTTTTGCATCCGCAGTTTTTACATTTAGGCGCCTCTGCTGAATGCTGGATCTTTACGAAAATGATAATAAAAAGCTACAGTGACTTGGTTATAGAACAATCAGTCATCTACGATACCTCTTCCTCTGTCAATCCTGAGGAATCTTGCAGATCTCTGCCAAATTGCTCTTGCAACTCAATCAGCCGTAGATCCTATGGAAAAAAACCCCAGTACTTACACACAATTTATAGCAACACGCACTTGGAGTGCCATATACATTCGAATGCAAAATCGTTTCCAGGTTCATGGGAAATGTTCCTAAATTGTTGCACTCCTAACAGAATACTCAAATGTATAATCACAGGATGATTGTCGTTTTCGAGAATACCTCTCGGTCTCAGCTTCTATGTCCTATGTTTGGAACCAAGAGAGCATAAATAAGAGAGAGAAACTTCTTAATTTAACAAATAGACATCAGTTTTTTAATGTTTTTAACGGAAAGAGCGCGCGCTCGTTGACGTCATCGTTATCTGTCTGTCCACTCAAGGGCACTAGGACACCGAATGTGGTTGGATTTCTATAGGTTTTTTTTTTCCTTTCGATTATTTGAATTAAATTAACGTTATACTTGTTTGACTTATAATGTGTCCGTGTTCCTTCGTTCGCTGTTGTAATCTAGACGTTTTCATTCCAAAGGTCAAACGGCTTGAATAGCCTATGAGCCTATAATTTAATTCAAATAATCGAAAGGAATAAAAAAACCTATAGAAATCCAACCACATTCGGTATCCTAGTGCCCTTGGTCCACTTATTGATTTAGATCTTATTAACCGAGCGGGAGGTCTGTACGGGATAAGATTCTAAGATTCACGGTCATATAATAAAGTAAAAAATAACCAATCTGCGCGCGAGAAATTTGTAAGTTATTGTAAAAAACGCGCTCGCCATGTAATTTTTAGTGCACTTTTGGACCGAAATCATACTTGTGGTTAACAAATTGCACTCCCGCTACGCGGCCGTACAATTTTATAATCATTTGTATGATTTTTGTCCAAATTGCACTCCACTCAGTTCAATTATCATTTATCATTACTGTTTCATTAGAAATACCGACGTAGCTCACACTACTCTTTAGCTAGTTATATCTTATTTATATAAAGGGTGCAATATAAATCAAAAATCTTTATTTAAACATTAAGTGACATTACCCTTTTCTTGGAGTACTTGGAATGTAGTTGCTCTAATGCGTTGTCCAGATCGGTAGAGTCAGCCAAGGTTTCCCTGAGCTCCTTTCAAACAATACATTAAAAAAGATTTAGTTCTATCTTGTGTATAACTAATTTTTATCTATATTGAGTTCACGTGGATGAAATATTTTGGCTTGTCGCACTCTCATACCCCATTCACACCAAGGCTTAAACATGTTT